CGGGGGGGTTGTCACTGCGGTTGGTTAGAGAAAATAGAGCCCTTTTAAAAACAAACCAACCCACCAACCCTGTTCTCCTTTTTTTTGTTTTTGTTTTTGTTTTTGTTTTCCTTCTGGTTTTTAAGATTTCCTGCCCAGGGGTGTTCCTTCCTGACAAGCAAGATGTGTACCTTGGGGTTTACCTCCTGAACCAGTACCTGGAGACAGACAGCTTTCCCTCCGTGTTCCCTATTACGATTCAGCAGAGAATGAGATTTAAAAAGGTGATCTTGACTTTCTCACTGCTAAATAGAGAAATTTAAATTTTGCTACCTGAAGATCCTTTAGTGGTTCTTATAAAGAACACGGTTCCTGTGGTTATTTTGTAAATTTCTTTTTAAAAAATTACTTGAAGGCACCTGAGCACAGTACAGAACCGTAGTTGGAAGATGTGCTTTTGCAGCCCAGGTCTGATCCAAGTTCTGTCAATCTAGTGCTAAACACCCTGGTCAATGATGTTTTCTATTCTGGGAACTCCCATGGCATTTTCTAACTGGAGCAGAGAGCCTTTTCTGAATGATCTTGGAGATGTTAGAGGCAATTGCATTACATTTATGACAGGGATAATCAACAAACTAGCGGACCTTAGAAACAAACGTTTTTTAACTAAAATAATAATAATAAAAATTATAACCAAATTAGTTAAATCCTGTATCTGAAATCCCACAACAAAACAAAAAGGATCCTCAGACTTAATTGGGTTTTCTTAGGTGATACCTGGTTTATTTATAAGTATGATATAAATAGTCGAAACATGACCAATCTTCCCACTTTGAAATATTAATTTTATTACTGTACAATCACAGTCCTTTGAAGTTTTTGTTTTGGAATTTGGAGATGGAATCAGTCTGATTCCTGGAACCTTGATGAATCTGGTGAATTTGCCCCAAATAATATCACTGAGGTGGTTCTTTGCGGGAAGAGGGTGAGTGTAGGAAGGCTTCAGGTAGAGCCCATCACTTGTAAAGGTGTGAATGGCGGTGCCCAGAAAATGACCTGTTTTGAATGGGTGAGCAGATGAGGATTGATTGCCTAAAGGACTGGAGCTGCATGTAATATTTTTATAAATTACAATATTAATTTAAATAAAGTCTACCAAACTGGTTGGATGAGAGAGAAGAGGAACAAGTGTATATTACCTTGGAACATATAGTTAGAATCCAAAGGAGTCTACTTCTACCGTTTAGATGTTGGTAGTGGTAAAAAGTGGGTGGTAGAAATCCAGTCTATTCCCCCCCCAATTTCTTATTTTCTCAATTTTGTTTGCTTCTATAGAAGATTAAAAAAAATTTTTTTAAAGAAACTCAAGGATACAAAATTATAGAAGCACAGAATGATAAATTTGTAAATGACTTTGAAGGTTATTTAGTCCAACCTCCTTGACTTATAGAAGAGGAGAGTGAGTTTCAGAATCACATTCTCGATCCCACTACTGCTCTTTTGCAAAGCTGTGCATATGAGATTACTAGTCAGAAATACCATGGAATATTTTTCATTTTACAAAATTCAATTACATAAGTGTTTTATTTTATTTTTTAAATGCTTTATTTTATTTTTAATTTATCTTTATTGTTGAAAGTATTACAGATGTCCCTTTTTTTACCCCCATTGCTCCCATCCACCCTACCTCCAGGCCTTCCTCATACCAATGCCTGTGTCCATGAGTNTATGCATATAAATTCTTAGGTTACTCTCTCCCCACCCACTCACCCTTGCCTTCCCCCTAAGATTTGTCAGTCTGTTCCATGCTTCTATGTCTCTTGATCTATTTTGTTCATCAGTTTATTTTGTTTATTAGATTCCACATATGGGTGAGATCATGTGGTACTTGTCTTTCTCTGACTGGCTTATTTCGCTTAGCATAATACTCTCCAGGTCCCTTCATGCAGTTTCAAAGGGTAAGAGATCCTTCTGCTTTACAGCTGCACAGTATTCCATGGTGTAAATGTCCCACAGCTGTTTTATCCACTCATCTACTGATGGGCACTTGGGCTGTTTCCAGATCTTAGCTGTTGTAAATTGCGCTGCTGTGAGCATAGGGGTGCATAAGTTCTTTCTGATTGGTGTTTCAGGCTTCTTAGAATATATTCCTAGAAGTGGGATCACTGGGTCAAATGAGGCAGTTTAATTTTTATTTTTTGAGGAACCTTCATACTGTTTTCCACAGTGGCTGCCCCAGTCTGCATTCCCACCAGCAGTGTAGCAGGGTTCTGCTTTCTGCACACCCTCGCCAGCACTTGTTGTTTGTTGATATGTTGATGGCAGCCATTCGGACAGGTGTGAGGTGATATCTCTTTGTCATTTTAATTTGCATCTCTCTGATGATTAGTGACTTTGAGCATTTTTTCATATGTCTCTTGGCCATCTGTATGTCCTCTTAGGAGAAGTATCTACTTAGGTCCTTTGCCCATTTATTAATTGGATTGTTTGTATTCCTTTTGTTAAGTTGTATGAGTTCCTTATATATTTTGGATATTAACCCTTTATTAGATATGTCATTGGCAAATATGTTCTCCCATATAGTGGGCTCCCTTTTCATTTTGTTGATGGTTTCTTTTGCTGTGCAGAAGCCTTTTATTTTGATGTAGTTCCATTTATTTATTTTCTCCTTTGTTTCTCTTGCCCTAGGAGATGTATTGGCAAACGTATTGCTACGAGAGATGTCTGAGATTTTGCTGCCTACATTTTTTTCTAGGATTCTTATGGTTTCATGTCTTACATTTAGGTCTTTTATCCATTTTGAGTTTATTTTTGTGTATGGTGTAAGTTGGTGGTCTAGTTCCACTTTTTTGCATGTATCTGTCCAATTTTCTCATCACCATTTACTGAAGAGACTGTCTTTACTCCATTATATGTCTTGCCTCCTTTGTCACATATTAATTGAGCGTAATGGCGTGGGTCTGTTTCAGGGTTCTCTGTTCTGTTTCACTGATTGATATGTCTGTTCTTGTGCCAGTACCAGGCTGTTTTGATTACAGTGCTTTGTAGTATAACTTGATATCTGGAATTGTGATCCCTCCAACTTTGTTCTTCTTTCTCAAGATTGCTGTGGCTATTCGGGGTCTTTTTTGGTTCCATATACATTTTCAAAGTGTTTATTCTAGATCTGTGAAATATGCTCTTGGTATTTTAATAGGTATTGCATTGAATTTATAGATTGGTTTGGGTATTATGGTCATTTTAATGATGTTAATTCTTCCAATCAATGAACACAATATATTCTTCCACTTGCTTTTATCTTCCTCTATCTCTTTTTGCAACGTCCTGTAGTTTTCCAAGTACAGGTCTTTTACCTCCTTGGTTAAGTTTATTCCTAAGTATTTTAATTTTTTTGTTGCAGTGGTAAGTGGGATTGTTTTCTTAGTTTCTTTTTCTGAGAGTACATTATTGGTGTACAAAAATGCCATAGATTTCTGGGTGTTAATTTTGTATCCTGCTACCTTGCCAAATTCATTTATTAAGTCTAGTAGTTTTTGGTGGAGTCTTTAGGATTTTCTATGTACAATATCATGTCATCTGCAAATAATGACAGTTTTACTTCCTCCTTTCCCATTTGGATACCTTTTATATTTTCTTCTTGTTTCTTCACTGTGGCTAGGGCTTCCAGTACTATGTTGAATAAGAATAGTAAAAGTGGACACCCCCATCTTGTTCCTGTTCTTAGGGGAAATGGTTTTAGTTTTTGCCCATTGAGTATGATGTTGGCTGTAGGTTTGTCATATATGGCCTTTATTATGTTGAGATATAATCCCTCTATTCCCACTTTGCTGAGAATTTTTATCAAAATGGGTGTTGGATTTTATCAAATGCTTTTTCTGCATCTATTGATATGATCATGTGATTTTTGTCTTTCAATCTGTTTATGTGATGTATCACATTTATTGATTCATGAATATTGTACCATCCTTGCATCCTTGGAATAATTTCCACTTGATCATGATGTATGATCTTTTTAATATGTTGTTGGATCTGATTTGCTAATATTTTGTTGAGGATTTTAGCACCTATGTTCATCAAGGATATTGGCCTGTAATTCTCTTTTGAGTGTCTATATCTGGTTTTGGAATTAGGCTAATGCTGGCCTCGTAAAAAGAGTTTGGAAGTGTTCCTTCCTCTTGGATTTTTTGAAATAGTTTGAGGAGGGTTGGTGTGAATTCTTCTTTGAATGTTTGGTAAAACTCCCCTGTGAAGCCATCTGGGGCCAGGGCTTTTGTGTGCTGGGAGCCCTTTGATTACTGCTTCAACTTCATCAGCAGTTATTGGCCTATTCAGGTTTTCTGACTCTTCCTGATTGAGTTTTGGAAGGTTGCATTTTTCTAGGAATTTGTTGATTTCATCCAGGTTGTCCAGCTTGGTGGCTATAGTTGTTCATAAATGCTTTATTTTAAATTTTGGAAATTGCCCTCTTGTGTGAGCTATTTGGGTTCATATTCCAGCTTTCCTCCTGTTTGCTCCAGCTTTGGCTGTATCTGTTCCATTCTTTTGCTGCAAGTATTTGTTGTGTCTATTCCATTCTCTAAATGCAAATACTTGCAACAAGTAACAAAAATCTTTTCTCCTTGGACCTTCTGTGTAACTCAGAATTGAGTGTTCTAAAGCATTTGGATAAACAAGAAATTACTCCTAGAAATGTGTGAGCCATTGTGTTTAAGCGGTTCATGTTGGTCATTTACTCCCTAAAATCATACTTGAGAAAATCCTTAGACATGGATGAAGTGAGGGGATGTAATTACTGAAATAGTTTAGGAAAAAAACCACCCATATTTGCTTGATAAATCCAAGTCAGTAAGACAAAAATTACAGGGGACAGCCTCATTTTTGTAGTTAAAATAGACCTGGCTTTGGAATAAAAGTAGAGTTTAACCATGCTTAAGTTCAGACACTATTTAAATCAGAACTTTAATGAATGCCTGCAATCAAACTCTGCTGAAAACCTTTTTTTTTTTTAAACAGTGTTCTAGAGTTCAGTCCTATCCCAGGCTCTTTTTATCTCAAGGACAAAATATGCAGATTTGGCAATGGCTAGACAGGTTATCACAGTTTTTCTTGTGCTTCATGATATACTGAAAAGTTATCAGGCTCTTCCTCTCTCTAATTATTTTTAAATTTTGTGGGAGTGTAGCTACTAGGACTTAGCTTTTTTTGTGTGTTACACACAGATAGAATTTCTATGTTTTTTCTTTAGCACAACCAATTCCTTAGCAAGAGAACTCATTCATTCAGTTAAGATTTTATGAATGTCTGTGGTATGCATAATGTTTTTTAGGTACTGAAGACTCTTTGAGGTTGATGACAGTTGTACTTTTAGCAACAAACTGTAAGGCTAAGTCAAGTTGATGATATTTTGAGCATGTGGTAGATTCAGCTTAGATATTGTTTTGTTAATTCTCATTCATTTATTCTGTAGTCATCTGTTGAACTTTAACCACATACCTGTTAAAGGTATTTCTCTTGAATCCTAAAATATTATATGGCTGGATTTGATATGTGTTAATTATTTAGAAGAATGTAATCTATAATTTCTATAAGTATATATTAATGAAACTTTGAAAATGTATTTTCCTCATTTTTTTCCTGCAGTTATTCGAAAAAGCAATAGATCCTGGAGCTGTAGCAGACATTTTAGAAAGTAGGTACTCTCTAAAAAAAAAGAAAGACTATTGTTTGTCTGTAATTCACAGATAAAAAATTCTACTGTTTTCTAAGTTGTGATACTTCCGTGTTTGATCTATATTAATATTCAAGAGAGTCTGTAAAATTTAAATCGTGTTTTTGACTCAATTACAAACTCTTTTCTAGATATAGATGGTATATACTAGAAGGTATCATTCTGTTTGTTTATTAAATTTTTACAATTAAATGGTTTTTGTGTATTCACAGAGTTGTGTAACCATCACCATAATAAATTTTAGGACGTTTTTATTACCACAGAAAGAAACACTATACCTATTCTTTTTATTTACTTTTAATATGTTTTTATTGATTTCAGAGAGAGGAAGGGAGAGGGAGAGAGAGGTTGAAACTGATGAGAAACAAACATCTGCCTCCTGCACACTCCCATGGGGATCGAGCCGGAAATCTTGGCATGTGCCCTGACTGGGAATCGAACTGGCAGCCTCCTGGTGCGTGGGATGGGATGACTCTCAACCAACGGAGCCACCAGCCAGGCCCTGCACCCATTCTTCCTCATCTCTCCCAGCTCTAGGCAACTGCTAGTTAATTTTTCTGTCTCTAGATTTGCTTACTCCGGATATTTCATATAAATGGAATTACGCAATATGTGTCCCTTTGTGACTGATTTCTTTTATTTAGCATAATGTTTTCAAGATAGCATGTGTCAGTACTTCATTTATTTTTATGGCCAAATAATGTTCCATTGTATGGATATGTCACATATTTATCCATTCATCGGTTGATGGCCATTCGGGTTGTTCTCATTTTGTGACTATAATGAATAATGCCGCAATGAATATTTGTGTACAAATTTTTTGTGGACATATGTTTTCATTTCTTTTGGGTATACACCTAGGAGTGAAATTGCTGGGTATGTGGTAACTTTGTTTAATCTTTTGAGGAACTTCCAGACTGTTTACCAAAACAGCTGCATCATTTTACACTCCACTAGCAACGTAGGAGGGTTCCATACCTTCACATCCTGACCAGCGTTTGTTATTGTCTGGCCTTTTGATTGGTAGCCGTCCTTGTGGGTGTGAAGTGGAATCTCATTGTGGTTTTGATTTGCACTTCCCTGATAACTTATGTTGAGCATTTTTTCATGTGCCATTTGTGTATTGGCCATTTGTATATCTTATTTAGAGAATTATCTATTCAGGTCTTTTGCCTATATTTTAATTGGGCATTTGTCCTTTTATTATTGAGTTGTAAATTCTTTATATATTATGGATACAAGTCCCATATGACATGTATGATTCACAAATATTTCCTCCCATTCTTTTCACTTTCTTGATGGTGTTCTTTGAAACACAGAAGTTTTTTATTTTGATGAATTCTATTTTATCTATTTTCCTTTTGTTACTTGTGCTTTTAAATGTTATAACTAAGAAACCATTGTCTAAGTCAAGTCACAAAAATTTATGTCTATGTTTCTTCTAAGAGTTTTATAGTTTTAGGTTTTACATTTAGGTCTATGATGCATACTGAGTTGATTTCTGTAAATGGCATGAGGTAGGGGTTCAACTTCATTCTTTCGCATCTGGATATCCAGTTGTCTCAGCACCACTTGCTGATCAGAGTATTTTTCACCCATTGAATAGTCCTTTGTTGAATTTCAACCTTTGTTGAAAATTAATGGCTCTAAATGTGAGGGCTTATTTGGGGCTCTCAGTTCTATTCCATTAAAACACATACCTGTTATGAGGCCGATGCCACACACTCTGAATCATTGTCGCTTTGTAATAAGTTTTGAAATCAGAAAGTGTGAGTCTTCCAACTTAGATCTTTTTCAAGACCGTTTTTTTGCTATTTAGGTTTCCATGATTTCCCATTTTAGGATCAGCTTATCAACTGCAAAATGATTATCACCATAGTGTTAGCTGACACCTCCATCCCTTCACATAATTATCTTTTTTTTTGTGTGGTGAGAACATTAAAGATCTACTCTCTTGGCAACTTTAAAATACAATTGAGGGAGTGGAAAATCCGAGTGTAACTTTTGACTCTAGAGTCAGCCTTTTGTATCCGAGGATAATATCGAATGCAGATGGAAGATGGTATTTTCAATCTGTGGTCATGGTTGGGAAACCGCAGTTGGGAATACAAAAATACTGTTTTTCATCCATGGTTGATTGAATCTGCCGATGCAAAACCCCTAGATACAAAGGGCTGACTGAATTTATTGAAAAAAATCCACGTATAAGTGGACTCACACAGTTCAAATTCATGTTGTTCAAGGGTCGACTATATATAATACAGTATTATTAACCATAATTACCATTGTTGTCTATTTAAAATGTTTTCAATTTTAGTATTTTGTGGGAATTATCTTTATTGATTTTTTATTATTATACAATTTATGTTTTAAATTGCTTTTGAGATTTGAATTTTATTCTTGTCTTTGAACATTGTACATGGGCTCACTATTTCTAAATATATTTTAAACTCTGGAAATAGAAAAAATGTGAATTTTATGTCTCACTTCTGTAGTCATATAGCATACTATTTTAAGCAAGATAAACTTTTATAGGTTAATGGATAACATTTATATTTTGGATTTTAAAAATGAAAAGTATTATTATTGAAATGATTTATGAATATATATGTGTTGGATGGGGGCCTTCTGGTAAAAACTGGAAAACCTACTAGACAAATTCAAAAAGAGCTGTAAGCAGTTATGAATATATTTTTAAGAGAGAAAATACTGCATTTGTTTTATCAATACTTTTCAGGGGGTGAAATTGCTGCTTTTATAACTCAGGTGTTACTCCATGCCTTTGATTTATTGGGTCTAGAAATACCCGAGTCATTACTGTTATAACACTTGTTATTAATAATGTAATAGTTATTACATTATTATTACATTTAATTCCTCTGTTGAGAATTCAAAAATGGTTAGGTGCCTCTAACCATGGTGTTGCTCAAATTAAATGGGAAGTTATGGCAATTTTAAACCTAGCAATTAATGAAAAACTCTGGCAATTTTCTAAAGTATTAAAATCTCATTTTTTCTTTTTTAGGCTTTCTAACCAGGTTTGAATTAATACAGCTAGTGCCTCCAGGTAATGTGGCAGTAAATGCATTTCTAAATTAGCTTAATTTAAATTTAAAAGGATTTTGGCAAGACAAAATGGGGACTGGTATTTAGAAGTCCTGCTTTATATAATATTCACTACCACCCCTACCCCCCCACCCCCCAGTCTATTTAATTTGTCTTCTTTCAAAATAATAACTTTATGGATTTGGTGGTTCTTTGACTTTCCATTTGTTGTAACTTTAGTTATTATCAAATAATTTTTCCAGTCCTGGCTCAGCTTCTTTCAAGTTTTTGCCTTTGACTGTGTTCTAATTTGTGGACTCTGTGTGTGTGTGTGTGTGTGTGTATGTAAAGCCCAAAGCCACCTTCTGTGTTAGGTGCTAGGACTGGGTTGGCAAATCCAGCTGCACTGTTTTTGTATGGCTCCTGAGCTAAATCTCTACACTTTTTAAAATTGAGATTTAATTCATAAACTATAAAATTTACCACTTTATCGTGTACAATTCACTTGTTTTAGTTTGCTTACAAGGTAGTGCAACTATGACCGCTATCTAAGTCCAGAACATTTATTACCCGGAGTCACTCATCACTCCTTCCTCCCCACAGCCTCTGGCCACCGTTAATCTACTTTCTGTCTTTATCAATTTACCTGTTCTGAATATTTCATATAAATGGAATCAGACAATATATGGCCCTTTATGCCTGGCTTCTTTCAGTTAGCATGTTTCAAGGTTCATCTACGTTATAGCATGTATCAGCACTTCATTCCTTTTTATGGTCAAATAACATTCTTTTATATGGATATATCACATATACCAATATCACTACTCTTTTATATGGATAAGCTTGCTTAGCCACTCATCAGCTGTTGGATGAGTGTGTTTTCAGTTCCCTTGGGTGTATAGCTAGGGGTGGAATTGGTGTGTAACTCCATGTTTAACTTTTTAAGGACTGCCAAACTGTCTTCACTTGTTACATTTTTAAATGGATGGAAAGAAATTTAAAAATACAAATATTTAGTGATGTGAAAATTATATGAAATTTAGATTTTATTGTTCATAAAGTTTTATTGGAACACAGCCACGTTTATTTGTTTTAGCATTGTTTATGGCTGCTTTCACACTGCAATGACAGAGTTGCGTAGTTGTGACTACACTCAAAGCCTAAAATACTTACTGTCTGGACTTTTACAGAAAGCGTTTGTGACCCCCGTGCTAGAACCATGGGACTTTAGGGGAAAATGTTCTGCGGTGCCTTTGCTTTGTGGTGTGTCTTGAATGGCTGGAGACCTGAGCTAGGGAGAGAGTAGGAACTGCCACCTGGTGGCACCAATTCTCATAGTCTCTCAATGTAGCTGATTATCTTGTGTGTTTTTATAGGTCTATAAACAGTATGTAGATAATATTTTGGGTTTTGCTTTTTCATTCTACATTTCTTACTTGCTTGTAGTTTCCTTGTTTGTCATTTTCAATAGCTATGTATTTTTCTCTAGTGTTATAATTATCCTTAAATTGGTATTGCTGAACATTTAGGTTTTCCTTACCTTTCATATCTTTATAGAAATTATTTTTTCCTCTTGGTTATTTGCAAATAATAGAATTACTAGGATGAGCCATGTCTTCTAACCTAGGAGTAAACTGGTCCCCAGTAAGTTTCCACTACTTCACTGGCATATGCCTCAGCTAAAGCAGAGGTCGCTGTGGAGGCTTTTCATGAGGATCATAGCCCTGCCACCTGCAGCTGTCCCTGGAGCATGTCAAGGCCCCCAGTGGAGAGGACCCAGGAATCTATAGTTCTTTCTTCTGCCTCTTGGTTCATTGGCAGAAGCAGGCTTTGGAAACAGATCAGAACCCCATTCTCCATGGATCTAGGGATAGATACCCTTGTATATGCCATTACTTTCTTAGGTGGGCATACAGAGGGAAGATCAGAGATGCCTCCTACCTGCTTTTCAGAAATTCTCACTGAATATTTTTCAGCCTAAAAATGACAGGCTAAAATCAGGGCATTGATGTTTTTTTTTCCCATAAGTTTTTTTTTTTTTCTTGTTTGACCCAGTTTTATGTTTAAACATAAATCACTGCTAACTGACAAGTTATATTTTAGTATACTAGTGAAACAGAAGCAGGCCCATTCTAGTCTTATTTAATTTTACATGAATTGAAAAAAATTACCCAATACCTAATATTCTCACTATAAAATTTTTAATTAACACAAATTTTATAAAATAAAAAGCCAAAAGACAGTCATCAATGACCCCTGACAATAATTACTATTAACACTTTGTTGTGTATCTTTTTAGACCTTTAAGATGCATTTAGTATATATAATTCATTTACTTTATTCAACCAATCCTAAAATAATACTTACATACACATATAGGCACATATATACTAAATATATCTAGTATTTATTATATGTATATTTAGTATTATATTTTGGTTGAGTATATATATTCTGCAACCTGCTTTTTAGAATTTAATGTATCTTAGACTGCCATATGTTTTTCACATGACACAGAAATCCATCTGTGAGAAGGTTGCAAGAATTGTTCGAAACTATGATGACTGGAGGATATTGAAGCTGGGTGTATGTATACTGGTTATAGCTCAAAAGTTAATCAGATGCAAAATGGAGGCTTTATTATATACTTGTTTTCCTCTTGTCTGCATTCCTTCAATTTCAGAATGTAATTAAATTTGAATTGCTCAAAATAACAATTAATTTTACGCAGTTTCAGATGCATTACAGACTGATCCATTAATTTGTCCAACGTACGTTTATTGAGGGTGTATATGCCCCACACTGTGCCACTTCTGGGTATCACGCAGGTGGTACCAGTCACAGAGTGGCAGGTAAACCTTGATCTGCTAGTCCGTGGTGCTAGATAATTAAGTAAAAATGATTGTTTGAATTCTCAAGTGGAGTGCACCACGTGGTCACGTGGGCCACATTTGGGTTTACAGGGACCAGTTCTTCATTGGCTGAATTGTTACCTTTTATTTTTTTCTTTCTTTCAAATCTTCACCTGAGGACATAGATGTATTGATTTTAGAGAGAGAGGAAGGAAGAGGGAGGAAGAGAGAAACATTGATGTGAGAGTGAAACATCGATTGGTTGCCTCTGGCACACACCCAGATGGGAATCGAACCTGCAACCTGGGTATGTGCCCTGACAAGGAATCGAACCCTCAACCTTTTGATGTATGGGGTGACACTGCAACCAACTGAGCCACACCAGCTAGGGCTGAATTGTTACCTTTTCATACTTTCCCACATTGCTTTCAAAAACACTTATTATAATCAAAAGACATATTATGATCGTTAAGTTAATGATACAGGTACCTCAGATGTGCATACTGCTTTGCTGCTAAGGAAAAAAGAGGTCCAGAAGCAGTAGACTCCCCCCTGGTTCTTCAGTTTACAAAGATGGGAAAAGTGAATGGACACAGGGGGGCAGCATAGTCCTGGCTGACAGCGAGTTTGGAGCTTTTATGGACTTCTTAAATAAAACCTCTACTTTGGAATGTGTCATGTATATTCATTCCAGCTGTAAAATGCTATTTTAATGGGCATCCATTCCCTGATTCAGAGCTTGGTTTTATGCTTGGTCGTGATGCATACCAGGCGTCAGCAGGAGAGAGCTTTTGCTTCAGATGTTCTGGTTTGAATTTCTACTTTGCCATGTGGCGTCATGACAAGTCTCAGTTTCCTTATCTGCAAAGTGGGAATCAAATAAGACCCCATATTGGGAAGCAAACTGTAAATTCTGATATGCTTTATAAATGCTAGATATTTCTTGAAACAATGTTGTTATTAAATTATTTCTCTTGATGTCTCATCTGTTTCCTTTTGGGGGAGTGCTTGTTCACTATGGCGTTGATGATGTCCCTGTCTGTGCCATTCGCCTATTAAGAACACGGGCGTTTTTTCAGACATTTCACTTGCCCTATGAGAATTGCTCAGCCTATGTATATGCATATTATTTGCAACCTAGGCTCTTGCTGTAACATCCCCTTGGTGTGCTGACATTTTCACACTGGGTGGCACTTTGGCTCTCTAGAAAATGACCAAACGAGGGAGACAGAATTGAGTGCCTCACAGCCTTCCTTTTCTCTGTTTTTGTCTCTTTTTATCCCTCAGATTCCAAAGATAGTGGATGAGCTCACCTCCAATTCTCTGGCCACTTATTTGTATCTTAATTCTTGCTAAATACAGGAATAGTAATTTAGTAGCTATCATTCTGGATGCAGTGACAACAACTAGACAAAAACATGTGAAAGCCAAAAGGGAAATCTCAATGTACAGAGCATCATTCCATGCATCACGATGTTTTTCCCCGCTAGAAACGTATTATTGAAAACACATAGTATTCGTAGACATCAGAGTAGTGCTGGGCCCACTGCTAGGCTAGTGTCATGGAGCAATCATGATAATAGCAGGTAATGTCAGGCACATGTGCTTGTCACTTGTCCTCACAACAGCCTTAAGAGGCTGTTATGAGTTTTACATTTTGCTGAAGAGGAAACTGAAGTTAAGGAGAAACTGAAGTTTATGTAATTTGTTCAAAGTCCCATAACTGGTAATTGGTGAAGCAAGGATTTGAACCCAGATCTGTCTGAACATAGAACCCGAGTTCTTAACCAGTGTACTGTAGGCTTTGGTAGAAAGTTGCATTTTGTTCCCAGTGATGGGTGAGGAAATTGTCACATCGCTTCCCATTTTCAGGTGGTACTTCTGAGGTCACCGAATGGAGGAAGTCTCTCTGGCCAACAAAAGTGGAGAGGTCATGGCCATCATGGGGAGCAGGCGAAAGGCTCCATCTGAAGTGTTTATAATATCACAGTGCGTGGAGAATGGATCTGAGTGCAGGAAGAATGGGAGCAGGGTGACCAGCTAGGAGGTCATGGCAGTAGTCCTGGG